CCTTCCTTCCCTCCCTCCCTAAATCACACATCCATAAACCATTACTTAGACATCTGCTTTCTTACTTTGTCAATGGATCATTTATCCCCAAATAGTTTTTCCTTAGTCATTCTATGCCCAATCTTGTTCCAGTTAATGCTGAGACATTGGAAAAATCCTCATTTGATTCAGTGGTACAGGACAAGACCATCAAATAACTCATCTCTCTAGAATTCACCAGTCAGCTAAAAGTCCTGCTGCACAGCAAATTCAAAGTCACAAATGCACACAGAGCAAGGTCCATTTCTCAGTTTTATCTCTAGGAATATACCAGTATAACAACTGGCAGGTCAGTGCAACTTGTTATGTCTCCTCATACTGGTGTAATTGCCAACACCCACTGCAGAGCTTCTAGTGACATGCCCCTACCATGGCATTGCCTTCTTTGTTATACAGGACACCATCATTTTTTTCCTTCCCTTTTCTTATTTATCCCACCACTGCTGATTCCTGCCAGGTGCCCTTAGGTCTTGCTCAGTATTACTGCTTCAAATTCTTTCTGCTCTGTCTTTGGGTTCAGCACCTTAAAATACTTCTCACCTGTTGCTGAGTAAGTCAAGCACATGCTCCACTCCCTGAATCCAAGGGCTTAATGTATTAAAAAGTCTCACCATTTCTTATTAGACTATTTCATATTTAATTCACCCTAACTGGCTGCAAAATGCATTTCCCTGACTGGTTCTGAGGTGCTCAATTAGTACTCAGTAAGCAAATCATAGGACCATAGAGGAATTCAGATTGCAAGGGACCCCAGCAGATTTCTAGTCCAACCTCCAGCTTAAAACAAGGTTAGCTATGAGATCAAATCAGGTTTCTCAAGGTTTTACCTAGCTGGGGCTTGAAACCTTCCCAGAACAGAAACTGAGCCACCCATTCCAAAGCTTAAAAGTCCTAAAGGGGGAAGAAAGCTTCTCCTTATTTTCAGCTTCATGTCTCTCATCCATCACTGCAAAGGGTCGGGTTCCATCTTTTTGACAAATCCTCCTGCATAGTGGGAGCTGCTGCTGCTAGTGCCCCCATCCCATGCTGGCAAGCTGCCTCTCCCCTAGACTGAACCAGCCCAGCTCCTTCAATCCACTGGGCACACAGCAAGGGCTCCAGCCCTGGGCATCATTGCAGCCCTCACCCTGACTTGCACTGGAGATCTAAGAACTGTAGTCTAAGAAGTACAGAGGAAAGGGAATAATGATTACTTTTGATCAGGTTACTATGTTCCTGTTGATAGTGACAGCATTCTTTGCTGCAAGGGACAACACTGGCTCTTTTTGTCTTCCTGACTATCAAGGTCCTCTTCACTAGAGCAACTTCCCAGTCAGTCAGCTCCAGTTTCAGCAGGGTGCAAGAGCCTCAGCCTTCCCAGCAGCACAACTTTGCAATTGTCTTGCTGAATTTCATAAGGGTCCTATTGATGCATTCCTGCCAGTGTCTAGTCCCCATGCCTAGATCCCTATGGATTGTCCCTGCTTGAACCTATAGACTGGTACCCACCATTTGCTGTCATCTGCAAATCTGATGAGAGTACTCTCTGCCCACCCCATGACGTCCTCAACATCACTGTTAATATGAAGATCTTTTTTCTTATTAGTTAAGTTTCCAGATGAAGAATTTTTTCTTATACATCTGCAGCCCTTTGTCAGAAGTAGTAAAAAGGTATAAATCTCCACAAAGAAAAGGACAGTTTTGGTTTCATCTTTGTCCACAACTCAATAAACTTCAATCACCAAGAGTCTCAAGTACAAGCCACACTTCTCAATATCTACATTAATGGCTGTTATTTATGTTTGCTCAAGATTATTTTCTTGGCTTATGACCGTGCCTTAGATTTTATCTTCAAATAAAGTTTAAATATCATTTTTGTGTCACTTTCTTCAAGAACTTTTCCATCATATTTTTTCATATCAAAACAGGCTGTAAAGTCACATTAATTCCTGAGATTTTCATCAATCACATCAATTTTCCACAGCCATATCTGGGAACAGTTACACTACCTTGGCTTAATCTTCACATTAGTTTCTACAGTCTTTCTATGCTCTACTTTTTCTAAGCCACAAATCCTCTGTTCTTTCCCTTTATTAGATTTCAAATAATCAGAGTCATGGGGACCAACAGCACTGGAAATATCCTCCTGAGTTAATGATTCCACTCACAATATTATCACAATATACTTTTATAAAATCTGTACAGATATTGATTGTGTTTCTTCTTTGGTAGTTGCTGAATTGAAGTTCTTTCCTGCAGATTTATTTTCTAACACTCATACCAATATTTTCCCTTATACCTCTTTTGTGTAAAGTAAGAAAGATTGATCTCAATTCCTCTTTTTCATAGAGGTCTATAAAGTTCAAAGTTTTGCACATCTGCAATGAAATTCCACAGTTTTCATCAGTGTTTATGCTGAAATGAAAATGTCTTCCTTTCAACTTTATTTCACAGTGCCTTTATTCTAGAAAGAGAATATTGTAAAGCAATACTAGAAAATATTTAAAAATAGCTTCATTTTCTTCTGGTAGTGCTCTGGATGCAGTCAGCTCTGTACACATGGGTGGAGACACAGACTACAATCCCACAGACGGCATTCAACAGATGGCGACTGAGAGGAAATGGGCACAATGGTTATGTACTAAACCTTAACACTTAGCAAACCAATTCAAGCCACCTCTTACATTTGTGTACATGTACTCATGGCTACATAGTAAACAAATATGGGCAGTTTATCATATTTGCAATCATTCACACATTATCAGAAAGAAAATAGCAACAGGAATGAAGGCAAAATTTCAAACAAGTACATGTGTATGTGATCAGACAGTGACTGAAACACACTTTAGTTAAGAACACATTGTTAAGACTAAGATTTGTATGTGAAACTCAAATTCCTGCTTAACATTAAATGGCAGAATGCCAATTTCCAGTTTTGTATACCACCACTGCAGAGAATAAATCAGTGTTCCATATTAAACTTACAATTAATTACAGATTAATTGTCATTTGGTATATGAGCAAAAATGCTATTTAACTCCCAAGTTATATTTGCTAAACTCATGCCAATTCAAAGTGAACAGCCAAAAGACAACTACAGCAAACTGAGTAGGAGTTAACAAGTCAAGCAGATCAACAGGATCAATATCAATTTCTAAAGTAAATAAGAACACAATACAATTTTGCATTCAATACATTTTTTTAAGAAAAGAGACCCGGTTTTGAAGGTTTGGAGGTCCTATGTGTATTTGTTGAGTAACCATGATAGAATAAAGACATATTTTTTAGACTAGGCAAGGAAAGTATGTGCAGCTGAGAAGCAGCACCCTATACAGCAAAGGAAAGACTGTACAGAAGAGTGGCTGGCTGTACTCAAGGCACATTTTGGACAGAAATCAGGGGCTTTGGCTGGAAATAATAGTTCAGATTGATTTTAGATTGATCCTAGGAAAATACTGTCTTTAAGAACCATAAAATACTGGAATAGAGAGATGCAAAAATCTGCTTCATTGCAAGATTTCCAGAACAAAGCTAGACAAACATCCGTCAGAAATGAACTTGCTGTACTGATCCTGCTTCAGGCTAAGGGAGGGGCTCAGTTGGGATCACTTCCTACCCTACATATTAAGACCACAAAGAGTTTGTTTTTTTTTAAGAGTTGGCAGACGCACAAAAAAAGAATATGTATTTAAGGTGAAACACCTCAATGAAAGAGAAAATTTACATAAATTACGTTTGCCTCATAGGATCTTTCTTTATGGTTGGGTTTTGGTTTTTCTTATTTGGAATGAACAGAGTGAAGCCTTTGCTTACATATAGACTGATTTCTTTCCTTATTATATTGACCCTGAATTATCTGAAACTGTCTTTTAAAGAAATGAGGATATCACTTACCATATCCTATGAAAGCTGGAATACTCCCTCTGCTCTAAACCTTGCAACTCTCTAGTCACACATTCAACAAAAACCCCTCAGTGCACAGTCACAATCTATTAACAGCAAAGTAAAACAATTCACCACATTTTAAGTCAGTAAAATATTGCTGATAATGCATACTTTACCAGTTATGTCATGCTGTTTGAATGACTCACTGTAGATTTGATACTGATTAGGGCAATGTTTCTTCAACCACTTGCAGACATCCTGCTGGGTCCATAACGCCACAGGCTTAGTCAGCTTCACAGTCCCAGACTAGGAACAGAGAATGAAGAACAGAAATGATGTTTAGTCTGCACACAAATTTCGGAAATATTAATCTGTCACCTCCATATATGATATTAAAATACTAAATGCAAAACAGGAGCTGCTCTGACAGATGTCCAGTAATAACCAGCCCATTCCACAAAACCCTGCTGTTCAAATACATCACACAGGAATCACACTCAGTGGAAGGTTCTTTAACATTACTTTTGATTGCTTTCATGTTCCTTGCATCCAAGAACCATACTGCACTTCAATAAATAGTGTTAAGAGTGACCAATGACTACAGCCAAAAGATAACAGATGCACAATTTGAATAGTTCAAACTCACTGGAGAGTTATACATTTGTGCCCCAGACTGGATATAATCACAGAAGACCAGGAGTACCCTCTAGCCAGGCGTGGTCCTCAACTACAATGACAGAAGATCTTGCAACAAAGGCCTTTAGTGCCAACAAGCCTGAAGACTGCTTTGTCTGGGAAGAGGAGACTACACACCAATGGACATGGATGGAGCTGGTGATATTGATTCATACTGAACATTTCAGCCGACAAAATTCCTAATTTTAATGATGTTCACAAGCAGCTATTTCTGTTTCCTTTATAACTTTAACTTTTCCACAATCACCATATATTACCAACAATAAATGTTTCACTGGACACTGCTGATGTAAGTGGGTGTGAACATCAATGTATACATTTACTTCATATTTTGTCAAGGAATGAGTCTAGGGAATAAAATCAAAGTGTCTGTTTCAATGCTATGCATGCAGAATGCTGTCCTCCAGCTCCCTGGTGGTGAAGATGGTTCAAGAGAAGTTTCTCTGCACAAATTTGAGGTGAAGGGGAATGTCATCTCAACCCATCTTCTCCATTAGGATTCATAGCAGACTCCCTCAACATCACCAGGCAGGGTTTATCCCAGCATTTGCTCAGATGCACTTTGTCAGACAGACTTTCACAAAGTTGCTTTCAAATTTTTCATTACTAGAAGCCCTAAAGACCAAAGCAATTTTAAGCTAGTGCTTTGCATGTCCTATTAAGTCCATAAAGTATGTCATGCAAAGATAGTAAGTTAGGGCCAGGGATTATGGCAGACCTAAAAATCCAGCACGGAAATGTGCCTTGAATTTCTCATGCCCAGTTGTCCCTATCTCCTTTTTACTGCCTGTGAAGAAGTTGAAGAAACAGTAGGAAAATCATGGTTGAATATATAACACAATGCACATCCCCTAGCTCAGCCTTTTTTGGTTTGAAGAAAAATAAACTCATCAGAAACATGAATCCTGTTTCAAACATGCTAATAGGCATCATCCATATTTAGAGGTATAATAATAATGCACAAAACCACCCCAAAGAATCAGTCTCATCTGCTGCTGCCACCCACCAAAATACAGAAGCTTGACTGACAGACCTAGTCTTTACAGAAAAAGAAACTTCCAGAGGTGCTGAGGGTGCACAAAAACCAGGACAGCACTTGCCCTAGCACTGCCCTTTCTGAGCAGCTCATCAGTCTTTACACACACAGGAGCACACACTGGTCTGGAGAAGGCACAGCCTCTGTAAGGAGAGTGGCTGCCCCGCAACTCCAGCTCCTCATGCAACCCAAGAGATCAAAGGGCCCTCAAACTTCTCTGGTCTTCTCATCACCGCTATTTAAGTCAAAGAAGAAACTGAGTTTCAATGAAGAGTCCAATATTAAGCAGTCAGTTCGGTGATTTTTTGTTACACGCAGATATAAATGGTGTCCTCCTCAAATTACATCAAAGAAATAAAAAAGCAAAAGTAGCCATGTGACACAAGCAGTCTCTCTGATTCCATAGAAATCCCTCAACTACAGGCTCAAGACTTCACTGTCTATCTTTATATGTGTTACTGCTTAAATTTTAAGGGGTTTTTTTTGCATTGGAATTTTTGAAGACTACAGGAAAGTCTGTCAGCCCTTGAAAAATAAATGGTTAATAGTTTTTCTGGTACATCACAAAAATACTTAAATGATAAATATTTGTATGCAAATATATACAGCTAGCTATAGACTTACAATCTACTTATTTCTAGCTGAAAGTACACAAGCAGTGCCAATGTTTGTTTAAATCAAGAGGCTGTTCTTTTCAGTTCAGCAACTATTGTCCTCTTAAAAGGTTTAAGCACCATCGTGTTAAATATCCAAACTACAAGTTATTAACAATTACAGTACAAATTTAACACATCCCTCTGTGCCTACAGAACTGAAAGATGGTTTCAAATGTAGCTTTTATGCCATGCCAATACAGATCCCTGCACAGAAAGCATACATGATGACTTCTTCAATGTTTGGAACTGTATTAGAAACATTTAAACTTATAACTACAGTCCAAAGAGGACATTTTTACATTGACAATAAAAAATGTTAGGTTTCATCTTCTAATTTCGAAGGACTTGATGAGTTAGAGGAATAAAGGGGGTCTAAAGCAATGGTGCTAAAGTATGTCTTCACTTTCATTTTTGGAACATCATACTCAAAATATTTTCTAACCAGATGCTCCAAATGAAAGGCTCCTAAAAATATGCCTTCCTCCCACAAAATTCATTTCTTAGTTTCTTCCCTGCTCTGAAGGCTAGATCTCATACAAAAAACCTCCCAGTAAACCAAAGAAAATTACCTGTACCCTAAACATACCTACTAAAAGACACCCCTGCCATTAACTACATATGAACTACCTAGACAGGTGAAAAACATAGTATGTTTTATTGTATTTCTGTTTCTTAGCTCAGTCAAAGAATAGGCCCAAACTGATTAAAATAAAATAATGTATTTAAAACATTACCTTTGATCTGGCATTCCTTTTAATTTTCCTGACATAAACTAATCCTAAAATCACCCTTTGCTGGCAACTCTGTAATAGTTTTAATCTTGCCAAATGCTATGCCAAGTCTTGTGGCCAGATATAGATGTAATGAGAATAAAAGTCTACAGTATTCTGGTCTTTTCTTGTATATTTGAAGGAAGACTTGTTTCTTCAGGATTTTGTGACAAACTTTTTCTTCTAGACTGCCCAACCCCAGCTTTTGTTACATGTATCTCAAAATACAAAAATACTGCCAAGAAGAAGAAAAAACATATTTACTACTTGACAAAATTTCATGCTCTCTTTGTTCCATGGTGCAGGGAAGATAGTACTCAACATCCCTAACTCAAGAATAAATAAATAAACAACTAAAACTTACAGCCTGTGCATTACTAGAGAGTGTATTTTAGTATTCAGAATAGCATCAGCTACCAAGCCCTGCTCTTCCTAAGCAATGATGGACAAGTTATCTCTTCAGCCTTCCAGGTGCAATTTACCAAGCCTGCCAGCTTTGAAGGTCAATTTATTCACCAGAATTTCTTTGTCTTTATTTATCATATTTTACTCCAGAAAGAAAGGGCGTCTGTATTTTTGAGTGATGAAGGATTCAATCTCATAATTTAAACTACACACTACATACTTTGAGACAAGCTATCTGAAAGTGCTTCTCCAACTCTAATAACATTTTGTGTATTTACAAACCTGCTCAGATTACAAAAGTCAGGGATTGTGGAGATGAGGGTGCCCAGTCAAACAGGGCTTCAGGTTTGCTAGAATAGGGCTGTCTCATACTGTTTGTAACATCTGGTTTGCCAACATACTGATCCTGACATGTAAGCATGGTCAATGCGTATTTACATTCAAATTTACCCAAAGTCAGACCCCACCATTTATGAAACAGATGGATAAAAAAGGCACTGCTGAAAGCATTATTGGAGCAGATTCTGCTCCAATATACATCTTGAGAGACTCTGCTCCAGGATTTTCAGTTTAACTAGAAAAAGACAAAGCAGAATCAATTTTGTTACAGCCATGTTGGCCAAAGGACTGCCAGGGTTTAGACTCTGCCAGCAGGTAAATACCACACAGCTGCTCACTCACTTGCTCCCCCAGTGGGACAGGGAGAAGAACCAGATAAAAAAAGTTAAACTCATGGGCTGGTATAAGAAGAGTTTAATAAGTGAAACAAAGTAAAACATAATTGTATTAATGTTTATAGTAGCAATGATAATAATGATGATGATACTAATGATAGTGATTAAAAGGGAAGAAAGAGAAAGAAAATAACTTCCCAGTAAAACAACTGATGCCCAATACAGCTGCTCACCACTTGCTCAGCAGTACCCAGCCCATCCCCAAGGCTTGGCTCCTTCTGGCAGTCGTGGTTTAACCCCAGCCAGCAGCCAAGCCCCAGGCAGCTGCCCACTCCTTCTCCCACCTGTGGGGTCAGGGACAGAATCAGAAGGGTAAAAGCCAGAAAACTCATGGGTTAAGATAAAGACAATTTAATAGGGAAAACAAAAGCCACACACATGAGCAAAGGAAAACAAGGAATTAAGTCACTGCTTCCCAGGGGCAGGCAGGTGTTCAGCCATCTCCAGGAGAGCAGGGCCCCATCCCATGTAACAGTGACTTAGGAAGACAAACACCATCACTCCAAAAATCCTCCCTTGTCCTTTCTTTCCCCCCACTTTATATCCATATGGTCTGGAATTTCCCTTACGCCAGTTTGGGTCACTGTGCTGGCTGTGTCACCTCCCAGCCTCCCAGACACCCCCAATTTCCTCACCACTGTGGCCCTATGAAAGCAGAAGAGGCCTTGGCTCTGTGCAAGCTCTGCTCAGCAATAACAAAAACATCTCTGTATTATCAACTTTGTGTTCAGCACAAATCCAAAACATAGTCCCACAGCACCCACTGTGAAGAAAATGAACTCTACCCCAGATGAAACCAGCGTGCTGGCCAACATCCATCCAGGTTTTCATAGGAAAAATGATAAAAAATGAAAATCCAGGTTTTCAGGCTAAGAATGGATATCCTATGGAACGTACCAGTTCGGGTCACCTGTCCTGGCCATGCTCTTTCCCAGCTTCTGCTACAGCTTCTCATAGGCAAAGAATGAAACACTGAAGAGTCCTTGACTCAGGGCAAGCACAGCTTAGT